TGTACTGATCCTGCAAAGCATCCCCTGCTTCAGTTAAAGCATCCTTGTACAGGGACACAAACCTGTGTGCACATTACGCTGGAACCTGGAGGTCCACATCCGGCATTCACCATCTTCTACACAGGTCCTGGAACACCTCCCATTGTAGGGATCACTTCTCTGGGTTCAGGAGCTGTTGGCTGAGGAAGTCTAGCTGCCCATAGTCTATGCCTGGGATTTACTTGTGGGCACGACATGATTTCTGCCTAGGACAGGATCCGATCTACCTCTCTTGCCGCAGCAAGACTTCTGTTTCCTCCCTGAAAATTGATGTATGCGGTCATTGTGGTATTGTTTGACTGAAACCAGATCAAATGACCTTCCAGTCAGATCATCCAATCCTGCAGAGACAGCGAAACCTTCTGAGATTCCAGATAGTTGACTAGGAAATGAGGTTCCTCTAACAACCAAGACCCATGTTCCGGCAGGGTGCCCAGGACTTCTTTTCAGCCCGGCAGGCTAGCATCCACCGGGAGGATCTTCCAATAGACAGAGCGCAACAGCCCTGATTCCAGAACTGGATTCCTGAACCATCAAGCCAGAGATAACCTGGCCCTCAGTGCCAAATGAATCTTTCAAGGAACTTGATTGACATGTCTCATGACAAGATAATGTTGTGTTGTAGAGGTCTAGAGTGAAAATGGAGCAAATGGAACTTCCTACTAGGGTACCATCGGAACTAGGACATTCATACAAACGTGGAGAGTCAGACTTCTCCTGAACTGGATAGATCAAATCTTTTTTCCTGTGGGAGAAGATCCCTCTGGCCTGAGCTTTGTCCATGACTGGACCCAGATATGTATCTAGACTGGAGGATAATGTTGGCTCTAATGAGGAGCATCCTTTGCGGGCTTAGCGCAGCCAAATCGGCACTGACTACTTTGTGTGATGAGTTTGAGCTTTTAGGACCAGCTTGGGAATCTATAAGGTGGCACCGTATGGAGAACATGGGGGCTACTAGCAGGGTGCCATCCCACCAGGTTTTTCCCCTCAGAGCTGACCCTCCCTCCCTGGGCAGTGGGCCCACCAAGAGAAAAACATCAGAGCTGAAGAGAACACTCCCACTCTCCTGAAGACACTCGCATAAAACTGAGCCATGCTGGTAGTAGGAGGGGTTATATAGGGCCGGTGTCCAATTCTCCTGTAGGTAGAAGTATAACTCGATGGTAAAAGATCTACAGCCAATGTCATTTTTTTAACACGATGTACTTTACATTCAATGCAGCATAACCGGTACACTACTGGTGTCATTTCCTGCCAGTGCGATTGACTCACAGATTTTCTCAGACGTCTCCAGTAAGATACAAGGAACTTTTTTGGCGTCCCCTGCAACAAGAGTTTCATTTTTGGCTTAAGGCATGTCTACCAAAGGGACACTGCAGGATTCCTAAAACACTGAGATTTGCTCAGGTAGTCATAATGAACCCAGACCCTCCCATTCAGAAATCAGTCTGGGAAGGACATGGTGAAACAAAACTGTTATCTCTTCACAACAGAACAAAGTAGGGATCTGCAACAAAGTTTGTTATAACCCGTGCAAAGTACAAAGATCACCCAGAGGGGATTTTTTTCTCAACAAAAGTGGAGTCACACTTTAATGTTTAAATATAAAATGACAGGGAATGTTTGTTTAGGTGAATTGTTGGTGAATGTCAGTTGGGTGACCAAGATTGGGCCCTTTATAAGCAGACCTGTTCTGCCTTCCATGGGAACATCCTGCTGAGTGCATGGATTGGATCATTACTGTATAATGATGGTTGCTGGATAGACAACTGCAGTGCCAGGTAAAACAGGGGTAGGCAACCTCGGCACGCCAGCTGTGGTGAAACTACAAGTCCCCATGATGCATTGCAAGATTGACAAAGGCAGAGGCATTATGGGATGTGTAGTTTCACTGCAGCTTGATGGCCAAGGTTGTCTCCTGGTGTAAAAATACACTCAAAACAGAGATCTGTGCTTTGTGGTTTACAGACATTTAGAATACAGATGGTTTCACCCGGAGGTCATTTCTATAGGACTACATAAACATTGCTACTTGCTAGGAGTCCCTAAAATAAAACGCTTTAATAAATTGACTCTTTAAATAATATACATGCATTATTTCTGTCGTGGAACAAAACTGAGGTAAAGAACAGTACAATATATAAAGCAGCTCTTTCTGCTGCCATTTAAATCTCTCTTATTCAAAATAAATATCTTTATATCTCCTACCATCTGTCAGTGGTTGACGCATATGTATATCAGAAAATAAATCCATTCTTCTAGATTGTGCCATCATATGAGGCCAGCACTGTCACAGAACATTGCATGCAGGTGAATAGTCTTCACGTCTGGTAACGCTTCTGTGAAAGAGACAAAATGCTAACAGAAGAAAACAAGCGTGAGAAAACAGATCCAGGAGGACTCCTTATGGCAGCTCATAACTCATAGTTCACCATTACTTCCTCTTCAAGTGATGATACGGACAGCTCTGCCTATGCCTTGGACAATTTATACACTTGTTTTACACATAGTTTAACAGAGATAACAATAGTTCAGCTAATCGATTTCATGGAGATTGATTTTGGCTTTTACCAAAACATTCACCGAGAAGTTATATAAGCTGCAGCATGGTCAAAGCCATTATATCCGACATGGAGGAAGCGACCTTTCCCAAGGTAACTTATTTAATTTCGCCGGTTTAGATTTAGCAGGGAAGCCAATTCTGCAGATTTGTATGACTAGGCCCCTCAGACAGTAACAATGCATAGCTACACCCACCGGTGCTGCTGGGTGGTTAGAATTCCCCAGCTGCCCTGCACAGATGAAGGAAATCTGTCATACCTGCTGGCATTTGTTTTATTACACAGGGTAAGACATGGGCATATGAAGTTACGCAGGATTTTGCTGGCAGAAAGATGGTCCATAGTGCATCTCAATGGACATAGACATGTCCGTAGGAACCGAGCTGTACGGGGTCTTAAGGTTTTTTTTTTTATATGCGTATCGCATGAATCAACATGGCCCTGTGGGCCAATGAAGGGCAAGGACATTCTGTGTCTGAAAGCCCAGGTCATTCTGCACCTGCTGCCTACAAATTGGTGACGTCTACATATCCCCTGGCCCTGAATGATCCAATGAATGATTCAAGTAGCGGCGTGGAATGGCCTTGGCCTTCAGTCACTGGGAATGACTAAGGGCCAAGGTCATTCTGCACACTGCCTCCACATTGGTGATGTTTACGTGCCCATTGGCCCTGAATGAGTCCAATGAGATGGAGGTCATTGTGCACCTGCGCTGATGCCTAGTAAATGAATCATTCAAGACTCCATTGAGAAATCCACTAAGTAGCTGCGTAGAATGACCATGGCCTTTAATCATTTGGAATGGCTGAAGGCTGAGGTCATTCTGCACCTGTACCGCTGCCTATACACTGTTGATGTTTATATATCCCCCTGGCCCGGAATGACTTGAATGATTCATTCACTAGGCATCAGTGCAGGTACAAAATGACCTCGGTCTTCAGTCATTCCGAATGACTGCAGGCTAAGGGCATTCTACACTGCTGCTTAATGAATGACTCATTCCAATCATTCAAACATCAGTGTGTAGGCAGCAGCGCAGACACAGAATGACCCCGGCCTTCAGCAGTGCATTTGGCCACATCCATTTACATGACACGCATGAAGGCGTTCGCCCAAACATTTACATGTGTGCCGTGTAAAATACAGTCAAAACAGGGCCATAGTTTTCCTTGCTTTGGTTTATGCAGCTGAATACTATGGACAGCTCTGTAAATGGGCCCATAGCAGTATACAATAGACCACGTAGGTCTAGATGCAAAGGCATTTTAGCTATTCGTTGAATTCGATCAATACGCTAACATTAGATCATGTCATTTTACTCTGAACACCTTACTTATTAGGGGTGATTTGCCTAAAAGAGCAGAGACAGTTCACTTAGCAAACCAGATGCTCATATAGCTTAGTAAATAAGTTGAAGCTGTTTTCACATTTATCAGACAATCATGTGCAAGAAACATTCTGCTTCTTTTTCATTTCCTTGCAATATATATTGATATTAAATAATAATTCTTCCATAAATGAAACCCAATGTTTTCATTTATGGAAGAATTATTATCCTGCAGTATTCATATGGGTGCCATAGGCTATCAATATCACAGCTGGGGCCCTGGGTGCAAAATATCATCCCAACCTCATCTGCAAGGAGATTGTATTCTCTTCCGTGTCTATGTGCTGGTCGGAATACGACTTCCATCAAAAGTTGTGCTTACTGTGTTATCTTGTGTGCAGGGACTGGTATGGACGGTGGACATGTATATTCAGTATGCTGGTGCTGTATAAATGCTGGAAATAAAACTGAACAAACAACTTGAATGGCACATCATTGTAGGTAAAAGTTAATTTACATGCTTTGTGACAATCAGTGAAGAGTAACTTTAAGGAAGTGCAAACTGATCAAAATGATGGGTCCCCAGGGACAGGGAATGCAGCCATTCTGCATCTTATATTACCATAGGGCAGGGGTGGGGAACCTCCGTCCCTCCAGCTGTGGTGAAACTACAAATCACATGAGGCATTGCATTGCAAGATTCTCACAGCCACAAGCATGACTCCCAGAGACAGATGCATCATGGGATATGTAGTTTCATCACAGCTGGAGGGCCGGAGTTTCCCCATCCTTGCCATAGGGGGTATAATGGGTATTGTGTGGAACGATTAAAAAGAGGAGATGTTGCTCATATCAATCCATTTTTTTTGGGATAAAAAAAGAAATTAAAAAAAATTGGAAACCATTATGAGCAATTTCCATTTTGATTTTCTTCAATGTTACCACTTACAGAACACCCCTGCGGAATGGAGACCCGCTTATATTAATATGCACATTGCCTCGGCCCACTAACTGACCTTATCTCGTTTTTTTTGGAATCCTCCAACTTCAGCTCTTAGAAGATCACATGACTGAATGATCTTTGCATGCACAGCAGGTAGAACAGTGGCAGACATCTGTGCTTACATTGCATTTTGTAGCTCTGTAAAAAGGTTTCAAGTATCTGTAGATTTACAAACAGTACAGGAGTGTTCAGCAACAGAAGTGCATAGGCACGGAGTACAAATGGCTCTTCTAGTTACGATCAGGAATGTGGAGGACTTCCTGTCATAACCCCACAGTTCCATCTGTCAGGCTTAATGCAGATCCTTCATGTAATCAGGTGCAGAACAGAACTTTCTTCTGGACTTTTCTCTGCCTCCTTCGATTTTTTCCTGGTTTTACCACCTGCAAAAAATAATAATATATCTGAATTTGTTCACTCTAGAAAGCATAAGTGATACTTATATAGAGTGCCACTTTTTTATTACAGGTATTTATATAGCGCTGGCAATTTACGCAGCACTTTACATACCACACATTCCCCCCTGCCTTCATGGAGCTTACAATCTAAGGACTCACCTCACATGTATACAGGGTGGATTTAGACATGAGCCAATTAACCTTCCAGCATGTCTGGAGTGTGGGAGGTAACTTGAAGAAAACCCACACAAGCACAGGGAGAACATGCAAACTCCATGCAGATAGTGTCCTGACCAGGATATGAATTGGGCACCCCCAGTGCTGCAAGGCAGAAGTGCTAACCACTAAGCCACTGTGCTGTCCAGAATGTTGCACGCCTGAAAAATGGCGGTGGCAGATGCATGTAAGAACCCAGTGGACAATCCAACCCACTGCTATCTACAAAGTTAAGAGAAGGGATTCCCTAGGGAAATCAAAGAATGATGGGAAAAAGGGGGGGGGGAAATTGGGAAGGGGAGGTTAGGGGAATCAAAAAAAGGAGGAGACAGGAAGAAGAAGGAGGGATGGGGACTAGGGGAGGGCAGTGAGCAGGAGTGCATTGTGCTAAGGGGGTAGTGGATGCTTGCCTACAGGGGTCCCCCTCCATGCCAGGGCAGGCCGAGCCCCAACCAATAAGTCCCGGAAAAGCATGTCTTCCGGAGACCAGTTTAATATGTTTTGGTGGCAAGTAGTAAAGCATCCAGTGTGCCAGCAATGAGTGTGAGTGTAGTAAATGAACGGGTAGACCTCCTATAAAATCACTGGTTTTATATTCACAGTAGATACAGTAAATGACTCATCTTGTGTAGAACCTGTGGCTGTGAGGTTTGTCATGCCATGACTAAACAGTCAAGCATCCACATTCGGTGAACGGATAACCCTCTTCTGACGTAATTGTCTAAAAAACTGCAAAACCAGCACACGATGGTCTTCCAAAGAAAAAAGATTTTTATTACACATGCATCTGTACAAAAAATAATTGCTGCAGAGTTTCTGCCTTACACGGCCTTAATCACGGATACGACTGAGGCCAAGTAAGGCAGAAACGCGTCAGCAGTTTTCTGTACAGATGCAGAAGGGATAACATTTGATCTTCTTTGGATGAGCATTATGTGGCGGTTTTGCAGTTTTTCAGATGTGGAGGATGTTGTTCAGCCTCTATAGCTGATCCTTGGTATGTACTGTATTTTATATTCAATGCTGTATAAATGAAACAAGTTAAAAGAAAAAAACCTCATACTCAATGTCCGAAGTAATTTCTTCCCCAGGGTCTCCTCGGTAATGCTTGTTGTAGAGCTGATGATTGTCTCATTGCAGGGGTGCTCTGTGTCCACACTGACCCCACACGTATCTGTATCTGAAACAAGACAAATACAAGCTACATCTCTGTTCATCAATGCTAGAAAAGCCTTTCAAAAGGAAGATGTCAAAGTATCTTTGGGCAAAACTGAAACCTTTTATGCATCCCCCCTCTGCCAATCTCTACACTGGCTTCCACTCGCCCAGAGGATAACATTCAAAATATTAACAGTCACTTATAAAGCCATCCACAACTCTGCCCCCGGATATCTCAGACCTTGTCTCAAAATATCACCCTAAACATCCACTCCGCTCTTCCCAAGACCTCCTGCTTTCCAGCTTCCTTGTCAACTCCTTCCATACTCACCTCCAGGACTTCTCTAGAGTCTCTCATATCCTCTGGAACTCTTTACCCCAACCTGTCCGTCTATCTCCCACCTTGACTGCCTTTAGGCGTTCCCTAAAGACTCATCTCTTCAGGGAAGCCTATCCCACCTCAACCTAATCACTCAACCATCAAATTCTAAAGCAATTCATCCCCACACAGCTACCTCCTCATGTATCACTTCCCCCTCCCTTTTAAATTGTAAGCCCTCAGGGGCAGGGCCCTCCTAACCATCTTGTCTTGAATTGTATTGTGATTGTAATGTCTTCCTTATATTGTAAAGCGCTGCGCAAACTGTTGGCGCTGTATAAATCCTGTATAATAATAATAATAATTAGCTTTGGACAGACAGGTTTTTATTGATGTTTGGGTCCTGGGTAGGGAGGTTCACCCTCTCTATTTCTCCCGGAGACCAGGAAATTCAAAACTTTTCTCCACATTCACTCAGCTAGGTGAAATTTCCCACGCAAAGTGAACAGTCATTTTCCCTTTAGTAAATCATACCCTCCCCCCCAATATTTGCTCAGTGTTCACCATTACTTGATTTATTGTGCCATCCTGACCCTTCCTACATTTTTAGTTGTTACTGGCTGTCATGGAATATACAAGTGATATGTCTTTCCAAAAGTGAGCCTTTGCATTTGTCTGATTTGTTTTGGTATTAATAGTCTGCAGATGAGCCTAAAAGGGTTAAAAAAAATCCCTAATGTTTCAGGAACGTGGACCTGTATATGTAAAGTGTATCTATAGACTAAACTTTCTTTAGGTTTTAGTTGGTGTAGGAAATGGTTAAAATAACGGTCAGGTTTATTTAAATTGTCTGCGTCCTGTTGGGGAAATGTCCCATCACTTCCCTTCCAGAGACACAGCAGGATGTGAGAGAACATCTCAGGAACATATGTAACCATTGCAAGGTTCCCCTCTCACCTGCTCTTTCCGGTGGCAGCTAGAACATTCATATTGCACAGAATACCCAATCATGTGCAAGGACTGTAAAACAGCAACAACAACAAAAAACAGTATTTTTACTTGCACATGATTGGATGATGGAAGTCAGCAGAGCTTCAACTCATTCACTGAAATACGGGGAAACTCCGTTACAAAGTGAACAGTCTACTTGCCTTTAGTAAACCAACCCTACTATCTCCTGGGTGTACATTGCACTGGCTTATCTCCGGGGAAACAATAGAAATCAGGTTTTCCAACCCGTCTGATGACTTTCTGCCCAAGAACACTCGCTTGGGGTGAGCAGTACTGCCCCTTTGACATCAGATGTCTGATCAGCCTGAGATCATCATGTAATGGACACGTGAACAGGCCTTCAAGATACTGCAACATCCTTGATGAAACCTATATCCTCCCATTTAATCACATGATAGGCTGGAAAATGAAAATCATTTTCTGTAAACTTACTGGTATCACACTTATCTGTGTCTGCAAGTTCTTCCGTTATTCGAGGGATATCATCCATGTGTAAGAACACAGAATCGTTTGGACTTTTTAACCCATCCGATTTGCTGCTGGCTGTTGGGGCAAAACATATCAGACATCGAAACACCTAAAAGTCATTATGAAATCATTACATGAAGTGCACAATGAAACTAGAGCAAACAAACCGCTATAAATGTAGTTTAAAAGGAGAACTATGGGGTTAGGGCTTTTCCCCTTAGTTCTCCTAAGGGTAACGGGAGGACACAAACTAGTGTCCTCCCGTCACCCTAGGCTCAGTATACCGCGAGCTATGAGTGACAGCTGGCTCTGCCTATCTAGAGGCAGAGCCAGCTGTATCTGCCCCCACCGCCAGTCAGCGCTGGAGGATCGGACAGGGGATGGGGGAATCCAGTCCCTCCCCTGTCACGGCTGCCGACACAGGATCGAGAAGTGAGCGAGCGCCGGTATGTGTTCGCTCACTTCCCGATCTACTGAGCCGACCTGTGACAGTCTCATTGTCACAGGTCGGCTCAGATTATGAGGCCGGGTGAAAAGCAATCACCTCATAGTTCTAGCCGACCTGTGACAATGAGACTGTCACAGGTGGGCTCAGTAGATCGGGAGGTGAGCGAACACATACCGGCGTTTGCTCACCTCTCGATCCTGTCACGGCAGAGAGCTGTGACAGGGGTGGGACCAGATTCCCTCCTCCCCGCTCCTCCAGCGCTGACTGGCGGAACAGATGGGGGCGGGTACAGCTGGCTCTGCCTCTAGATAGGCAGAGCCAGCTGTCAGTCACGCAGCTGGGCGGATCTAGCACAATTGTCGGGATCCGCTTCAGCTGCGGCGTCTCAGTATACTGCGAGCTGTACCTCGCGGTATACTGAGCCCAGGGTGACGGGAGGACACTAGTTTGTGTCCTCCCGTTACCCTAAGGAGAACTATGGGGAAAAGCCCTGACCTCATAGTTCTCCTTTAATGTAAAATAAAGTTGTCCCAATAAAGATAGTGATTCAGGTGTGGATTGGACCATTCCTCTGGTTGTGGTCTGCACGGCATCCTTCCCTTTGATTGATGATCACTTTCAACCTATTTAGTTTTTATTAGGACTTCACTTTATTTCATTTATTGGATCAGACACCACATGGACTTGGCTGTATTTGTGTATAGCCTTCTTCACATGATGTTTTGTCACACAGTCACACATGTAACTTTGTATTTCCTACACCTTTGTCACGATTGTGTTTTTGTGATTCGCTCATCTAGCTCGGCACATGATAGTTTATATAAATCATCAAAATTCGGTTGAAAATCTACCTTACCTAAGTTGCAGTTTCTGTCACTGAGTAATGTGGTCACAGCGTCATCCCTCGGAGATTCGGACACTCTCTGGTACTTTGTCACTTTTGTCGATTCTCCATCACAGAACACTTCGATATCAGGAGACTGAGGAGAACTGTCCATCCGGCTGGCAGTCAATGCATTCTGGTACTGCTGCCTTGTAATCTACAGAAGAAAAGTCATACTTATAATCAGGAAGATTCAAACCCTAAAGATTTACTGTCCACTCACATGCCGGGAAGGTACAGTAAGTGTTACTTAAAGTCATATTAAACCTTCCTACTTATCCGTTACATATTCAGATATATGTTACAAACATACACTGCAATGTGTTCCCAAAAAATCTGTCCCCAGTCACTTACATTTCATTCTTCCCAGGACTTCCAGCCAGGGCGGTCGATCAGTGTAAAAGGTCACATGACTGCCTGCGGGATTACAAGTCCCATAATTCCTTTGCTCTATTGACAGATGGTGTATGTGTGACCAGCTTTGGAGTTTATCTGGCAGTCAATAAAAGGCAAGTGGAGCTTCTGATTCAGCCATTCACGGCGTTCAGAGCTGCCTGAACATGTGGACGTACAGAACGTCAGCATGTCATGTTGCAATGTGGGGCAGGAGCATGCTAGTAAGGGTGGTTCCGGGGAACCCTGAAGGGGAAGGGAGTCACCCTAGAAGAGGAAGTCGGTGTTCTATCACAGATTGTGACTGCGTTAGAATGTGTGACCGGTCACGTGGTCACACATTCTAACGTAGTCACGCCCATTTTTTTCTGGGGTAAAAATATGTGACCGGCAAAAGGTGTAGAATTCAAAGCTTTCTCCGCTGTTCCCGGGCAGATCGGCATCGCAGATGGTATGTGCAGGAGAACTGATCTGCCCTGGAGCAGCTGATCGGTCCTGAAATCTCATGACTGGCGACACATTCTAACGCAGTCACAATCTGTGATAGAACACCGGCTTCCTCTTCTAGGGTGATTCCATTCTCCTTCAGGGTTCCCTGGAATCACCCTTAAGGTGCCCACACACCTTGTGATAATCGTACGATAATCGCGGGAAATCCCGCAATCGTACAATTATCGCAAGGTGTGTGGAAGGCGTGCGACCTCTGCTACTGTAAGGTCGCACGACTTTTATCTTAGGAACATGTTCGAAAACCCGCCGAGAATCGTACGATTGTCGGCGGGTGTGTGGCATGTTCGTAAGATAAAAGCCGGACGGGCCAGTGTTCGCAAGCGCACACTGCACGTTAAGCATTGCGGTCATCGCTAGTACGATCTGCCTGTCTAAGATACCACCCTCAGTTGCGGGTGTCTGTGTTTGGACAGATGCGCAGGTTCCGGTGTGCGTGTGACTGCATGTAATTGCATGCAGTTGCGTCCAGCTGCAGCTTGCAATTACATGCTGCGCCTGTCCCTTCTGGGATCGGGTCTTTTTATGCGCGTGCACGCCTGTCTGAATAAGCCCCGAGTCTTAGGACTGGATGTACAGAAATACAAAGCCTTCGGCAGGTAAAACAGCTCTCCAGTATGGATTTCATTTGTATTTAGTGGCTTTCCTGTCAATAACCTGGAAGAAGTTTTTGTCATTTTAAATCTTTTCATTAGTCATCAGTTCTATATATTGGGTAAGGGGAGCAGAGCCGAGTAAAACCCGGCACCCTGGATCTTGCACATGGTGGCTCACCTTAGCATACTGGACGTCGCAGAGGATGTGCACGGAGTAATCCGGTATGTAGAGGTTGTTGTTGCTGATGCTTAGCTGGTTATTGCTGCCCCCGTAGTCGTTGCGTTCTCTGTTAGGGGATTCAGAACGGTTCAAGCCACTGCAGCGAGAAGGGGATCTGTTTACTATGGACAGCAGGGGAGGGAGGAAGAGAAAGAAGAGAATTGGACAGAAAATAGGATAAAGAAGGACAGCAAAGGAAATGTACAAGGTTAGATGGAAACAACTAACTACTAGGCTTCATTCAGAGAAGACAACATAGTCATTGCAATGCAGAAATTATACAATTTCACAACAATCTTTCCCAGAAGATATAAGGAAGAACTCCAGGCAAATGTTTTATTAACCCCTGCAGTGGGGCCATCCCTGCACTGCGAGGGTTAAGTGCTCGTATTTTCCTAGGGTCAAAAATAAAAAAGTTATACTCGCCTGATCCTGGGAGCCGGCTTGCTCTCAGACGGTCTCTGGAGCCTTTTCCCCCCTCCGCTGCAGCGGTCTGAGGTCATCGTGTTCTATACACGGTGCATAGGATGTGAGGACGCTCAGGGACATACCATCGCTGCAGTGTAAAGGAGACTGCAGGGAGCACTGTGACAGCCAGCCGGCTACGAGTATAACTTTGACCCAAGGCAAAAACGAGCACTTAACCCTCGTTAACTCACTGCAAGGGTTAAGAACATTTTTACCCGGAGTTCTTCAATAAAGAACATCCATATCTTCAGGTTAAAGAGAACCAGTCACGTCTGGGATAATGCAAGAATCTGAATTCAATGTTAGAATTTACTAATAAAGATGAATATCTGTCTCCATGATTAGCTTTACTTACAAGGTCTGAAGTCTATAGATGTAAATAGAGTGGAAGCTGGAGTTTATTACAGCAGGCACCTCCTGTTTTCTTCCACTGCATGACTACGCATTTGCCAATTTCGTGAACCATTTCCTGTGCATCACTATTGGCCAGTGAAGCCGACAATCATACCCAGAAGCCTACATCAAGGGACAGACGATGGGCCATTGGAGTTGCTTTACTAGGCTGTTCACTTTGTATGGGAAATTGCACTTTGCCGGAGGTGAAGCGCTGTTGACTTCCATCATCCAATCACGTGCAAGCAAAAATACTGGGTTTTTTTCCCCCATTTTTCTTAAACATGATTGGATATTCTTTGCAAAGAAAATTTTTACCACATTCAATAAGCTAATGGAAAATCCTGCTGCAAAGTGAACAGACTATTTGCCTTCGTAAAATAACCCCATTGTGTGACCTAATTAGAGTCAGTACTTGCACAATAGGGTGCTCCAAGTTTTTGAGGTTCCCAGGTGCCCCGGAAGAACACTGATGAACACAGGTACCTGGAGATGCCGGTAATACAGTCCAGTTGCCACTTTATAAACATGGAAGTCACTAAAGGCACACCGTATAGTTTAAATACCTGAAACATTTTAAGTATTAGATCAGTCTTTATTGTGGGTCAAATCCCTGTTTATATATGTATCCTGCAAGCTGGATTCTGGGCAAAACTGTTCTTAACCCTTGAAGTAGGCTAGCCCCGCACTGCAAGGGTCGAGTGCTCATTTTTGTCTAGGCGCTAAAAATAAAAAAAAGTTATACTCACCCGATCCTCAGACTCAGCTGGCTGTCACAGCGCTCCCTCCAACCTGTTTGCTCCCCTGCTGCAGTGATGGTATGCCCCTCGGCGTCCCCACGTCCTATATACTGTGTATAGAATGTGATCTTAGACCACTGCAGCAGAGGGGGTGGGGGGGAGAGACACTCCAGGGATCTGCCTAAGAGCAAGTCGGCACCGAGGATCATGTGAGCATAACTTTTTTTATTTTAGCACCTAGACCTATGCTGTATGACTTGGCCTGTCCATTAACATCTGATCCTCTGGTGTTCCTAGAACTCTGGATCAATAGCAAGTGACGTGGCCATATAGTATGCTTGGATATCACACGACCAACATGTAAGGCTATGTTCCTCACATGCATTTAAGTGTCTTTAACTGGATAGTACATTTAACTGTATTCCATAAATGACAATTAAAAAACACACAAAATAAAGGAAGCAAAATCACATTTTACTCATGAAATGATTTATATTGGAGTTTTCATGCACATAAAGTCAGATGTCACAAAGGATTAGCTTCAGAACATATTCATATGTAGATATGAATTCAACCCATTTTCATGTGACGGAACAGTACAGGCGTGCACGTTTACCTGGGGAGCCAGCCAAGGATTCCCCTCTGCTGAAACCGAAGGTGCGAGATACGGACACAGGTACTGAGAGGGCAAAACAAAATCGGGAGTAAGAAGAGTTTCACGGCACATAGGGATGACAGCACAGAAAGAAGAACACACACTGGAAAGAGGGAACGACAATCATGTCCTGCCAAACACTACTGTAAGTGTATAATGGAAGTCAATGTATAAATATATCTATACTTATAACACACACACACGCTTGAAAATGGGTTGGTTATTATCAGAATTAGCAAATTAACAGTAGATTGAAAAAACACTGTTAGGAAAGCAAACAGAATCAGTCGTATTAATAAAATAGGAGGCATTCCAAATAAAAGAATGCTGAACTTACCATCTGCTACATACTCTGTACACAAATGAATCCAAATGAACTCTATTAAGCAATGTTCTGCTTAAACACCAGGTGGTATTTTATATTATTAAGCAGGCTATGTAATAATCAGCACTGCATGTCAGTATGCAG